GGGGGGCAATAAGCACATTGACTTGCCTACAACTACGTCGACCCCGAAGGGGACAAGGGTCACGCAATCCCGTTGGCGGTCAACCTCCAGGAGATCAACTGTTGTCTTTGTCACCCCGTGGTCTGCAAACTTCACTTCTGTGAAAAGATTGGCATTGCCTAGCCCGCTTCTGCTACTGTTTTGTCTCTGATGATGTCAAAACGTCAGACAAATAACAATTTTGTCCAAGCGATCGCATCTTCTTCTTCTTCTCCTCCATTGCCTGCTTTCTCTTATAAACCCTATGTGATAATTGGCCCCATTAATATATTGGTCTGATGGATAATTTTGTCGAAGTAAACGTCTGCTTACCGCATAGTTTCCTGAATCATTCTACGAGAAGTACTGCAAATTCAAAGCGTCAAATTATAAAATAAAACGACAGAAATCCAATTTACTCGTAGCCCGAACATCGGCCTCAATCTCAAGCTTTGCCGATACTGATTTCGTGTCCTCCTCTGACTTGATACGCCTTTTTTGTCCCATAACAGGGGCGCTCTTGGCTCGCCTTGTCTTCTGTTCGTCCTTCTTCTCCTCTTCCTCCTCTTCTGGTTTTTCTCTTGTTTCAGCCTCTGCAGAAATTTCAGCTTCCCCACCAGCGGCTGGTGCGGAAGGCTGACAGGGAGTAGCAGCAGTAAGAAGAGCTGTTCCCGGCGGAATGTCCCCCAGCAGGAGACGATGCTGGCTACGAGTCAGTCGCGGTAGTGCATCACTGGTTGCCAGGAGACTGTTGTCACTGTCGTCGTCACTGTCTGAATAGGAATCCGAGTCCTTCTCGGCTGTCGTTTTTGTTGTTGTCGGCGGTTCCTTCTTGCTTTGTGAGTTGGTCACCGGTCTGACTGGTTTCTTCTTGGACCGATTCTGCTGTTGGATCTTTCCGGGCGCATTCGTCTTGCGGATGGGCGTAGAAGTCAACTCTTTCGGTTTCGAGTCAACTGCAGTGGTAGCAGTGGTTGTCTTTTCACTGGCAGACGAGGAGGACGAGGCGGAAGAGGACGATGCCGATGACGAAGACGACAGTCGTCTGATGCTACTTGAAGAACTTCCCTCATTGTCACTGAGGGTTATCCTCTTTGCACTGTGACGAGCAGCTGACGTAGGCTGTTTGTGTTGCTTTCGCCTTTTGGTAGATACTGGCGTTGAAACCGGTTTAGTTGACTGCGATCTTCGCGAAAACTGTCAAAATAAGGAAGAAAATATTATCTGGGCCGGAAACGCAAGCAGTCAGGTTGAAAAAAAATAAGTTAGTCAAATACGAGGCGTCCTTGGATTGTTTAGGTTCAGCGAGAATACCCATGTAAGCACTCGGGAGGTCAAGGTAGGCGAACGAGCGTTTGCGATTAATTCCTCATCAAGAAAAATACAATAATATAAAGGGAGGGTAGAGTTAACATGAACTAATTGTAGGACTCGTTCCTCCTCCCCCCTTATCTTTGATCCTTAACATTTTCACCCCGCCTCCCCCTAATTACTGCTCATTAGTTGCTTAAACCTTCTTAAACTCTACCTTCCCTTTAAAGTATTGTATTTGCCTGATGAGGAATTAATCGAAAATACGAGGCAGTCAGCAATGTGCCTGTTTAGGTATGCCTGTACCACAATCACAACCAATATCGCTGACTAAACTTCAATTAGGGGAAGATGCGAAAATAGGCTACAGTTAAGTACTTAACCTTGTACAGCGAAATCGTATTAAACGAGTTTAATCCGTTCCCGCAACGACCTCGTCATATTAAGCATTTTTCTTGCAAAATGTACCCAATCAAACTGCACCAGTTCACTGATTGGCTGCACGAGACCGAGGACCCACGCCCTGGGAGCAATATTCAACGGCGGACACGGGCACACACGCACACACTGGCAGCTCGTTAACTGAGCGGAAGCTCGTCAGCCGAGACCCCACTGTATTTGATATCTTTGCAACAGACAACCCTCAAAGGTCTAGACTTCTCTTCCGGGGTTTTAATGGATCAAATAATCTTGCTCAAAAATCTCTGCTTAAGGAGCATCATTCGAGCGAAGTACACCGACTTCGTCTAAAATGGGGGTAGTCATACTACTCTCGATCCTACGCTGTTTCCCACCTAGAGAGGTCAAAGAGGGGGTCAACTCCAGACCTGGCTCGACACAGTTTGTCAAGACATGGAAACGATTTTTGGACCTTCGGTATTCGGTTTCCATCACTGGAGAAAATAATTGGCTGAGCTTTCCAAACACGCCTTCGCAACTCGTCACGCGTGGAGAGGTACAAATAACTTTTAAAGTAATCACAAAATTTCCAATGAAAGTTGACACGCAACCCACGCAAGCCAAAATTGCAAACTCATGTAAGTAGATACTGCCATTTTAGGCCAGTGACTGATTGTACGCTTACAAATAGACTACCGCCCAAAGAGCATAGAACTCACAGTGTCAGAGGCTGTTGTCGTGGGTGCACTCGTTGCCAGTCCCGGTTTACGCGTCCTTCGGCTAGCGGCGGAGGCACTTTTAGGGGTTCCAAAGGCAGTTGATTTCCCAGCCTCCGGCTTCACCGCGCGCTTATTACCACTGGTGGCGGCTAACATCTTGCTAGTCGTTCGACTCGTAGCAGACCCGGAACCGCCGTGTGGGGTCGAGTCTTCCGTAAGCGGCAGATCATCCTCCTCTGAACTAATGTCCTCTAGATCAGCCAGTTTCATTCCAGGACTGGGCAGAGCAGGCGACTTTGAATTCTTCGGAGAAAGGAAACTGGGGCTGTCTTCCGAGTGGCGTCTCGGAAAAACTGGGTAAAACAGATATGGCGACTTAGGTGGAAGGTAATCAAAGAGACGTGTCTGAGAGAGCTTAGGGGTAATAAAAGAAAAACGGGTTGCTTTAGTACGTGCACAAGGATAGAA